TTTTCGAAATATTGTCCATTTTTTTTTATGATTCATTAAATAATGAAGAAAAAATAGAAATATCCGTTTTTCCAGTAATGTTCGAACAGTTTTAGGCATTTTATCAGTTTATTTGTCATATCTTATGACTGTTTCTTGTTCATGTCTAGTTATATCTATGGAATAGAGAAAATATTAGTCCGACTATCATAGTGGGCAAATACTTTAATCATTCAATACTCATTTTCATACAGAGGATGTTGCTTTGTTGAACCGAAAAACTGTTTTACATGAAGAAGCACCAACGAGTAGATCTGGTTAACTCTCATTAGTAGTTGATTGGGATTGTTAACATTTTCTGCACGATCCGAAATAAACAATCAAGAGATATTAATCTCTAACAAGCATGCGAAGTCAAATGAGTTTCGAAACCATGAAAGCTACAATCATTATGAACTTTTTTCATTTATTTTCAAAAAACTTGAAACAAAAAGATAATAAAATGTTCTAGGATGCGAAAATTTTTTTTGAGATTAAATTGTATCTCGATATCAATAGAACGTTTTTATTATGTCCACTGACAGCAAAAACCTACGTGGCCCGAGCATGTACAGCCACAGTTTGTATTGTATCCATGGCTACAGAAACCACAGCACATTGGGTGTTCTGGTGTCGTCGTTTCTTCATGGTCTGTTGGATCAATTCCAGAAGTATCATCCATATCCCCAATCGCAGCACCTCGAAGTGAATCGAAAGAAACCATTAACATAAAGAAAAGCCATGTGGTTGTCAATATCTTCTTCATTCTTTTTTTTTCGTCCTAAATTAAAAGGGCAGTAACAAATTTCACTAACGATCAAGTAATAACTTACTTTTTTCTAGTGTGGTGTAAGCTATATGGAAGAAAACTTGAGACTTGAATAATTTCTCTTCTGGAGATGCTTTGCTTATATAGGATATGACAAAAAAACGGTGTTGACAACGCATTGACTCATTTTTGTTTCCGAGTCATGGTGAATTTTTACCTTTTGACTATATTGTGCTTGTTTAGTGGAAGGCAGAATGATGATAAAGTAAAACATTGGATGGTGTAGAACGTTTTCTGTGTTGCTAGTTAGTCACATAATAATCCATTAATGAAGAAGCTTGATATGAACACTTGCCAACAAATGAGTTCTATTTTTATACTTTTTACAGTGTCGATACGCATGTCACCAAAAAGAAACAAAACAAAATCGATTTCGATCAAGCCCATTTACCTGTTTACTCATACAAGAAAGAGATGGAGCAAATAATGCGTGGAAGAATCGAACAGAAAGAAACGCAATCGACGTCACTATTTATGACACCAAGCATTGTTTCTTTCATCTGTATGACAGAGATTGAAGACGTACAGCACGTTTCGAAAGGCTTTAAACAGAAAGATTTTTTTCTGAGCACACATGTTCATGAAATCCATGTGTATACCAGAAGAGTGTGGGGGTGCGGGGTTGGGTGTGGGTGTGGGTTCGGTGTGGGTGTCATATAGGTGTGGGTGTGGGTCTTCTATTCGCACACACCCACACCTTCAAAGGTGTAGGTTCATCTGTTTTTCTCACGAAAACCCATATCCGCATCCATACCCATACCCTCAATGTGTTAAACTATACAAAGATATCATGTTAGGCACACGTGATATAAAATAGTATCTTTTTTCACAATTTTAATCATTAATCTGTTTCTAAAAAGTATTTATGTACGTCAGTATACCAAATACGATCTCTATACGTGTTCAGTTTATAACATAATTCACAAAAACGAACTGGTTCCAAATCGCGACCTAAATATCGTGTTTCATACTTCATTCTCCATTTATGATACTTTTCATACTCATTCTGATTTGCTCCCACGTCCTTCAAATGCTTAGCAAGTGTTTGAGGATCACTATAATCTTTTGCATAAATAAATGAATTAGGAGGCGCAATTCGTTCATAACTTCGACGTTTTGGACCAAAAACAATAGGTATTGTGCCATGAGATAATGATCGCCAAAACTTCTCAGTAATATAATCGCGTCTCAATGTAGTCGATTCAAATGCTAAGTAAAACTTTGACGTAGAAAGTTTTTCAAGTTCACATTGAGAACGACGAGCACACGTATAAGAATCGCTTGTTTCATTGGTGACACATTTTCCAAAGGCAGAGATGGGAAAATATTTTTTGAGTTGTTCATAGTACTGTAGCCGTTTCTTTGAATTGCAATTACCGACGAACCTTAAATTACTCAGTAAATTATACTATTGTTTTTTTACGATGCTATCAATATAATCATATTACTTACCAGAGAGCTTCGTTGCGTCTTTTTATGTGATTTTCATTAATCCATTTTGTAAATGCTGCTTGACTCATCGACTCATTTCTCACAAAGGTAATCCCATAAGTTGCGATACTAACTTCTGAATCCAAACGATAACTAATTGTCCAGTTAAATAGATATTGATTATAGATCGGTGATGGTGGATAGGGTTCATCATGCCATAGCAACCATATTTGATTTGGCACTCTATGTACCCTTAGATCGGCCAATCCATTGTAATTTAATTTGCTATACAGCATCAATATAGCATCAGCTGTATAAACCAAAGAAGAATTGCATGTAAAGTGACAATTTCGAAAGGGGCACGTTGATATGTAAACCAATGCACTATTTTTACTTTTGCAGAATTGACGATGTCTGGTGTGTTCGTAGATTAAAAAGGACGTTTTGCTACGTGGCTTCTGAAATCCGTTAGGAATTACACTCTTGAAAGGTGATCGTTTCATTAAATGTTCTTTCGATTCAAAGTATCGTAAAATACCATGCTGTGTTCTTCTATCGAACGCAAATGACGCATAGGAAGAGTCTAGTTGTCTAGGACTTTTTTCGCGTTTTCGTCGGACTTTTGTATGAGTCATAAATAGCAAGCTGCTAATAGTTAAAAAAAGAAAAATACACCTTAGATGTTTATTAAAGTGTCGAATAGAAAATGATCGAGCCATTATTGCTTATACATCACTTATATTTCACGGCCTATTTGAATTGATACGAATTCAGTTAGTTGAAATTGATAAAGTTTTGTTTGTTAGCAAGAGATGAATTAGAGAAATATCGGCATGTGACTGATATCATTAAGAAAGACCATATACCAATATGTGATCTAACGATGAATAATTGTAAAAATAATTATGATAAAAATGTATATAAGCTTTTTTTAAATGTAAACACTATTTTTTGTTTCTTCCTTATGTTTACAATATTGAATAATTAAAAAAAGAGCATTTTCCAAGCCTGTTGTGAGAAGCATCCGGTTGCTTCACGAGCGGTAGAAAATTTGAGGAATATATTTTTTGTTCGTTCTGTTTTAAATCTCGAACCCCTTGACAGCTATCGGATTCCGATTAATCGTAAACTGCATCCTACCAGATACTCACATTCGACTCTTCCAAAACGTATCGACTACGCAATACTCATTGAAGCTTCGCATTGTCGACTAGAAGAAACCAATCGAAAGAATATTATCGCTCCTCAAGTAGTGATGGGCCGAAACAACTTCGAATATTGCGAAATGATATTTTAATTATAGCGAACGAAGGAAAGAAAGAAAAAAAGCACTACGTTATACCGTCAATTTTTTCTGCTCTCCCGGATATACGCAAGTTGATATATGTGTTTCTTTCGTTTTGTTGTAAGTTATTTTTTTCTTCCTTCTCGTAAGGCGATCAGATGCGGTATCACGTAATAACCATTGAATACAAAGGATAAACCAAACGACTATAACAAAATACAGATTTATTACGCCTGACACGGAATAACGTAATAATCGCTTTTAATGTAATGAAAAAACTTTTCATTGAATATTTCAATCTATACATTCAGAAATTAACGAAAATTAGGGGCATTCCCAGATCTGGGCAAGTCAAGTCGAAAATGCCTCAAGACCAAGTCAAGTCAAGTCAAGCCTCGCTTGACTTGACTTGGTCTTGAGAAAAATTTTTTCTGATCTTCTGACTAGTTTCTAATTTCCACCACATTAATCGTCTAAAGAGTACGGTTTTTCGAATTTTTATTGAAGAGAAATGATACGATAGTTTATCCATAAACTAATTACTAAGTAAACTAATTCATCAATTATTTATCAGACATAAAAAAAATAATGTGAATTTTTAACCCCAGTCAAGACGTCACTTTCAATATTGAAATGGCTCATAAGAAATTTACAGATATTGTATAAAACAATTTGTTTTTCTTTCTCTTTTTTGTTTCTGTCTGCTCTGAATATTCCACTTGGACGACATTTTGATTTCGTCCAAGTGGAATATTCAGAGCAGACAGAAATAAAAAAGAGAAAGAAAAGAAATTGTGATGTATATTTTCTGCAAATTTCTTATGTGCCATTTCAATATTGAGAGTGATATTTTGACTGAGATCAAAAATTTCGCTTTATTTATATACAGAAACGTTGGTTTCAGAGCTGGGTAAGTCAAGTCAAAAATGCCTCAAGACTAAGTCAAGTTAGACTTGACTTGACTTGAAGAGTCGTCTTACCGATTTGATTCCGCTCATGCCTTGGAAAATATCTGACTTGCCCAGCTCTGGGCATTCCGAGCTAGGTTTACCCCTCTCAACCTCTAAACATTCTTTTTTTGTTTGATAATTTTCAAAAGTTTAAAAACGTACATTGGAATTATTGTGGACAGAAGTTTAAATCTTATCTACGACTAAGATTAAATTATCATAACATAATTTTTGTACAGTAGTATGACGCAACAAATGATTGACTTCCATACTTTACTCCATCAACTGTATTGTTAATTTGAAGGATTATTCAAGTAAACAAACATATATTTCTTTCAACATTATACTGTTTATGAGAACTTTTCAGATTACAGTTTACATAAGACTTTCGTTTTTACTTCTAGAAAAATATGCATATTTCTATAGAATCGTGTTATTTTCTTTACTATTGGTAAACTCAGATACAAATAAATCTCATTTAACATCAATGAATACAGATTCTTCATCTTTATCAGTAACTAATTCAATATTAAAATCACCATCATCAACAAATGCAGCAATATCTACCTCATCATACCTTTATCAACTACACCTAGACAAATTCTTAAGCCAAAAAGAAGTTTGGTCTGGAGCTATTTTAATGTGATCAATCATGATGAATTGCATGTTGAGTGCGTCTTGTGTTCATCCACCATTGTTCGTAAATCAACGTCTACTTCGAATTGATTATATCACATACAAACTCAACATAATTCTGAATATTAGAATATAAATAAATCGATGAAATCAAAATCACAAATGCGAACACGTGAATCAACACCAAGATTACCATTATCAAGTGAACGATCTGTATATTTAACTAAATTAATTGCAGATTTTATCATTTATAATTATCTTCCTTTATCAATTGTCGAAAGTCCTTAACTACAAGGAATTTTTCAAGATATGTATTCTGAAATTCGACAAAATGTTTATAATGAATTACAATTAGCACCTGGTAGGTCATTCTATATTCATACTCATTTACAGACTGTCTTTTTCTGATATTTTAGGTATTTGTTTAACAACAGATATCTGGACATCTCAAGCTAATCAAGCTTATATGACTATTACGGTCCATTTTATTGATTTGAAAAATAACAAAATTAAAAATTTCGCGCCGGAAACTAGAGAATTTTCCTGAAATCATACAGCTGAACGGATAGTCGAACGATTAAATAATATATGTATCGACTGGTCAATCAGTGAGAAAATTGTTTGTTTACTTTCTGATAAATATAATACCATGAGAAAGGTTGGGAAAAATTTTGGAAAAGGTATGATTTTATTTCTATTCTTAAACTTTTGATATTTAATAATTTCTCGATAGGTTGGATTGGTTGTACTGATCATCTTATTAATTTGTCTGTGCATGATGTTGTTCGAAAACTTGATGAAGTAAAGAATATGCTAGCAACAGTGCGATATATTGTCACGTTCACTAGAGAAACTCATTTAGCAATTGAAATGCTAAACAAATATCAAAAATCATTTGGTAGAAAAACTCAGATTTCATTTTATTTTAAATAGTCACGGAACTGAATTTTTTTAGGTTTTATTGAGCGACAATTAATTTTTGATGTAAAAACGAGATGGAATAGCACGTTCTATGTGCTTCAACGATTTATTGAAGAAAAAAGCTTGTTAGCGCAGCCCCTTTGAGGCTGAAATGTGGAACTCACGTATATTCTTCAGCTTCATTGTACTAATATGCAATATAGATAGTATAAAATCACGAATTTTTTATTTTTTTGACAGGCGCCCTTAGTTTTCGTCTTCTTTGTTGCTATTCGCTCAGTATTTTTCATTTTTAACACTGCTTTTTTTCTTTAATTTTACATTTTTATTATAAGAAGCATTGAATTTTATGGCGAATGAAGCTGTTATATAGATATATGTATATGTATATCCATTATTTTAAACCTGGTCGCTAAGGTCTGTAATGAGGGCCTGCGTTACTATGGTCTGTAAGGAGTGGAGGGAATGGGGAGCCGCGAAACCTTGAACTTAAAACTTACACTCCCTATTTTCTTCGAAAATATACGTGAATTCCACAAAATTTGCGTGACAACATGTTTAAATGAGAGATTATTCCGAAAACAATTTATTAATGCTAAAGTTTCGAAAGTGCTACAATAGGATGGTTTAGAACAATTATTGGTAAGATATTATTGTAATATATCAACTATGTAAAACTCTTTACTTAATTTTAGAATATATTGGAACCTTTCGAAGCAGCTACACATAAATTAGCATCTGATTCATCACCAACAATATCAATTGTTTTACCTGTTATTACAACTTTGATTACAAGTCTTGAATATCGAGATGCTGATTCTTCTTTTCAGGAGAAAGTCAAGGATAATTTACGTTTGAGTATCCAAGAAAGATTTGAAGAACTCTATGAAGATAAACTAGTACGTACAGAAACGAATAGATAGATGTTATATGACATATTTCTTTTAGATTTTATTATGTACAGTGTCGGATCCACGTTGGAAAGATTTTTCGTTCCTTAATCGTTCATTATATCAAAGTCATAATGAAACATTAGTTGTATGAAATCAATTACAAGCATTTGATGCTAATAATCTGGCATACTTATTCTTACAGGAACAGTTTAATATTTTATTTGGAAACATCTCAACTGTTTCTCAATCAAATGTTCAACGACCTGAACAAAAAAAGAGAATTTGATCTGGTCGACATAATGATAACAAATAATATCATTACGCCAACAAATAGTCGTGATGCTGAATTATTAATGTATGAGAATGAACGAGAAATTCATCAAAATGAAAATCCTCTCGAATGGTGAAATACTAATAAAACAAAATTTCCTATATTATCAAAATTGGCATTCAAATATTTATGTATTACTGGTACACACTAAGATAAAATGTGTCGCATGTGTCGCATGTGTCGCACTTTGCGACACAATGTACGACACATTAATATGCGACACGAGGAGCTCGTTGCGACACATTTCTTCCAGCGGACGTACGACACATTCTTGTGCGACACATGCGACACATTTTTAACACGTGGTTCGAATCCATTTTTCGGCACGAGGATTATTTTTTTTTGAAAATTCGAATAGTTACTATTTTTTCAGTTAATTTCAAACAGTAGCACCTATTCTTGGAGTTCGAGACGGTAGATCTTAAGATCTAGCTGCCTCGAGACCATTTGATCTCGATCAGACTACTTCGAGGCAGTCCATTCTCGATCATCTAGCGACCTCTCGACATGTTCTCGAATAATAAATGGTCGAGAAATAATCGAGAAAAAAAAGACATACGAAAATGTATAAGTCAAGTACGTCCAATAGGCTCGGTTATATGCAGCTGCACTCGCGAAACAAATCGGTGAATGAACGATTGACATATAGGCTATGACACATCTATAATGCGACACATTTTTTTACGACACATTTTTGTAATGGAGTCTGCGACACATTCTTGTACGACACATATATACGACACATTTTATTTTAGTGTGTACAAGTGCCCCCTCAGAAAGAATGTTTTCAACGACTGGTCACTTAACTTCGGACAGACGTTCGAAATTAACGCCTGAAAATGCTGATATTTTGCTATTATTAAATAAAAATAGTTAAAAAAAAATGTATTGTTATTGTCTGATATATTTGTACGTATTCTTGTATTTTTTTTGTATTATTTATTACTATTGAACCATTGGAGCTTTGGATAAAATAAATGTATGAAATTTGAATACAGTTAATAGATTGATATAATTTAATTAAAATGTCAATAGGATTATTACACTAGGACATACTAAAGATACGAAGAGGATAATTATACTGGCTTTCCTGATGAATTATTTTCTCACTTATTATTATACTACAAAAAAACATTCGAGAAAATCTATTTCGAGATAAGAAAACAATTTCAAAAATAGTTTCTTTCGTTTTGTTCTCATATTCGACGTATATGATAACGTGTGAGCGACGTAAGACGTTCATTGCGCCGTCGATTATATACTTGTTCTTTCGTTCTGCCGTAGCTTTTACGATTATATTCGTCTATATCACGACTTTTTTTTCTGTTCTGTCGCGATTTACGACGATACGAAAATGAACGTATTACGCATATCAAACCATCGAAAAAAATTTTCTAAAAGTTTAATGTATAAGATTGGTATCGTTAGAAAGAGCGCAAAAAACTGACTATTACCCTAGAATATGAGCGCGGGGTATAGTGTAGTCCCAAGCAATTTTTTTTAAAACAAAGTTCCCTGCAAGAAGAACTTTTTTGTTCTTGGTTCAGTTTTTTCTTTCGTTCTGTCATATGCGTATACACATACACATATATATAGAACCACAGAACGAAAAGAAAAAATTTCTGTATATATGCTCAGAAGAGTGCATAACATTCTTCATGATGATAATTCGTAATTGAAATATTATTTAAAGATTTAATTATATAATAAAAATTTTATGAATTCTGAGCATTAAATTAGTTTTGAAATTCAACGATTTATTAAACGAATAAAATATTTTTTGTTATCTAAAACCATAGGCGGCGGAGCCACGACGCCTGGGTAGGCTCGAGCCTACCATAGATTGGAGTCGGGTAGGCTTGGGTAGGCTCAAACTGGGACAGATAAAGGCTTGGGTAAGCTCGAATTATCATAAATTAAATATATAAAAAAGCTTGAGTAAGCTCGAATCGTCTTAGATTGAGGAGATAAAAGAGGCTTAGATAGGCTCTGTTTAATGTTAAAATTCTCTAAAGGGTGGTTCAAAAGTTCCGACCACTCTCTATAAATCGATAGTATCTACAACAAACTTATATGAAGTTATTGATCAAATTACGTCATCTTTTAGAGAAAGATAAGAGTTATCACCTGAAAAAATATTTGGAAATAGATCTGGCATCTCACCAAGACTTTGTAAAAAAAAGAGAAAAAAAGATGCCCAGCATTCTTGAAAAAAAAGAGACTTTTTAATAAAAAAAAAGGAGAAAAAGAGGCATACAGTTTCCTTTCGAAGAAAACTAAAACTCACCGGCACTATAGTACTATAGATTCGATAAAACTTGTAGGTTATCAGTATAGGTTGAATATGACTTGAAAGAGAAAAACAAAAACGAAACTTCCAAATTGTTCAGAGATTTTTGTGCAGCTGCTTATTTATCCATTAGAAAACCAGAAAACATTAGAAAAATATTCTAAATATTCTATCTGCATAGTATCTGAGTATAATATTACTGTCTAACTAAGTAGGTACATAGAAATAGAAACAATCAAAATTCATTAAATGTCCTTTTTGCGTTTTATTCCTTTTTTTTGGATGGCTGCGCATGTGAAAAAGTTTTTCTTGCGCTTTTTCAATTTTCGGAAATTCTTACGTGATTTTGACCATTTTTCGCAAATCAGTTTCACTTTTCCGTTTCTCAACATAAATTAATACATTGGTTGCAACTGTGTCCAGACAGCAGGTTTGTGGGAATCATTTGACCGCGTGCTATCGAAAACGCTTAATTTTTCGCAGTGACATATGATCATCTTCTTGGGTTCTGTATAAAACGACTTACTTGTGTTGAGTGGATTGTATGATCTCTTACTTTTTGGTTATCGGATACCCTGTTTGTTGCTGTTGCATTCCATCATATCCAATTTCTTCCAATTATCATCAAACCGTTGTCAATATTAACCCATGTCAAGCAAACACGCTCGTAATTGGAGAAATACGGCGTTTCATACCGCCCAGTAATGTGATCGTATAAATCCGTGATCGTATGCGCAAGAATATGATCGTTTATAGACAAACAAAGCTCGTCTACACTTTTCGTTTTACTTTGTATTTCTTCGTATACGATTATATTTCTCCGTGTACGGCTTGGAGATATACGAACCTCCAAAATGTGATTGTATACGAAGAAACTCGGAAGAAGGGGAAGAGGGGTTACTTCATTTTCTGATAAGCAGAAATCTTCAACTTATGTTATCATACTATCGGAAGCTATCTTGCCGAACAAATCCCATTGAATCTGACAGAATTCTAGACTGAGTCTAGTCATCCTAGGAACTCTTTGCTTTGAAGCATGCGCTACGCTACGAGTTACCTATCCATTGTTAGATTCATATCACAAGCTTCTCTGAGGCCGAAAAAAATGGTCAAGAAACGTGAGCTCGAGATTACAATTTTACATGTCGATCATAACCAGAAAAACATGTTAAGGTCGTGAGAGAATGACGATTTCATATTGGAAACATAATTGAGTGCTTTTGCTTCCGCTAGAGAACTACAAAAATTGGGTTCCGATTATGTATATATAATATCGCTGAAGTTGATCACTAAAATCATACACTATAGCTTCCTTATCTATGCAACTTCACTGATCAGCACATCAGTTTGTTATGTGATGTTTTTGTATGATACGGTAACAAAAATCAATATATTCATGAATATTTTTGTCAACGACCTGCTTCTTCGTGAGAAAAGAGGAAAGGTGGAGTTTTTCGAAAAAAGGGGCTAAAAAGAGGAATTTTAAAAGAATAGAAGAAAAGGAGGAAAAAGTGGTGGAGTGGGATGCCAGCTCAAAGCTGCTAAAATGATCATAATATTATAATAGATTTATCTATTTCGAAATGTTTTTTTTAAATGATAACTCTCATCTTCCTCTACAAAATAACACAATTTGATCAATAACTTTCTATAAGTCTGTTGTAGATATTATCGATTTATAGAGAGGGGTCGAAGCTTTCGAACCATCCTTTAGATATCAAATTCTACGGAATTTAAACCTAGCAAGAGAATCTGTAGCGCTCCCTATTATAAACGAAAAAAAAAAGTCTTTCAATTGACTCTCGGTGCTAGCTTGGCCTAAAAGTTGAGCCTACCCTAGATCAAGACCGCTCCGCCGCCCATGAATTTATCAGAAAAGTATATTTCGAAAACTTATTTGTTATGCATTGAACGGCGTTGTTTATATATCCCTGTGTGTTCATAACAAAACGGTGAATGAATAATTGTCATGATTTATCAATGATTTTTGAAAATCAGCTCTTCTCTTATAATCGCGATAAAATCTGATATAATCGTCGACCTTTTAACACATTCACCCCGATTCAAATTCCATAGAAACTAACATCTTTAAATATGTTTTATTAGAAAACAAAATATACCACAAGATGCAGCATGAAAAGCTCTACAATCTACATCATGAAACTTATTTCAATTGTGTGCTTTTTGTTTTCAAAATAAACTAAAATTGTGTGTGACCAATGTTTGAGGTTGCGAAAATTGATTGCACAGAATTTTGCTTTTTTCGAAAACAAAAAATGAACTTTACGATGTAGATTGTAGAGCGTTTCACACTGCATCTTGTGCTATATTTTGTTTTTTCTTACGAAATAATATTAGGTGATAAAAAGATGAAACAAGAAAAACGAAATTTAACATTCGTGCAAAAAAAATGATCGTTTCGCAACTTCGAAAATTAGTTATGCAGAGTTTTACTTTCTTTGAAAACAAAAATTAAACAATTAAAATAAGCTTTACTATGGAGATTGTAGAGCTTTTCACGCTGAATCTT